ACCCTTTGTTCCACGGTGTGCTTTCCTGACGGTCCCGTGACATATTCAAAAGCTACAAAAGTAATCAACCGTGTGGATCTGATCATCTTCTCTGCTGCTGTATCAGACTCTGCTCTGTACTACTGTGCTCTGGAGAACATAGTCAAAGGAAACACCACAATACAGTGCAGAAAACTGATTCACAGTATTGCATCTACATCACACATATCCACCCCCCATATCTGCTAGTTAACACAAGGGTTAACGCCCCTCTATAAAGAACCATATATTATTGTATGCATGGATTGTTAATTTAGATGCATTTGCTTTTTCCCAGGTTGCGAGGAAGGAGGGGCTTAAAGTATATTTGACAGTAGTTATTGAAGCCGACATAAAATAATTTAATCTGAGACTGAAAGCACAAACACAATGATACTTCATTCAGTTATTCTGCTCTCTGCTTTAGCATGTAAGTACCATTGTTTTTTTTTAATGCATTACCTTTATAATTGCAGTTAAGTATGTACTGTATGAAGCATAATTTTATTATTCGGGGACTTATTATATAAAAGTGCACTAAAAGTAAAGGAACTATTTCAATTCTTCCATTTTATCAGTATAGTCCCCTTTGAGACTAAAAGGACAAAACTATCATTTAACATTTATTTGCAGGTGCCAGTAACGGAGATACTATTACATCAGACAAAACAGTGGAGTTTGTTGCAGAGGGTTCAAATGTTACATTATCCTGCAGTTATTCATCTGCATGGTCTTTACTTTGGTACCGTCAGTATCCCAGATCAGCTCCTGAGTTCCTTGTGCTCATCTCAGACAGTGCAAATCAAGCTCAGACGTCTGATGTAGATCAAAGATTCAGTTCTAAAATCAGAAAAGAAAAACAAAATCATGTGGCTCTGAAGATCTCCTCTGCAGCTCTGAAAGACTCTGCTCTGTACTACTGTGCGCTGAGGCCCACAGTGACAGGAAGCAAAAGTACGCTGTACAAAAACCTGACTCTAAAAGGAAACAACGG